GCCTAATTTCTTAATGCCCTGGTTGCCACGCAAGAGAAAATGCATCCTACATTAGCATAACTCATTATCTTTAACTTCAAATATTGCACCTAAAGTTTGTGTAAAGCACTATTTGGTGAATTTAATTAGCTATCTCCATTCGTAAAAGAGCTTTCCAGTAAACTGTGACCCAGGCAATCGCTCAACACACGCGCTCTAGACAGAATCAGTGCGACACGGTAGCAAGTGCAGCTCCTCCTCCTGCCCTTGAACTTATGCCAGTTAAATCTGCAAATAAATGTTCGCTTGTTGTTTTATAATGATTTGTTCGTGAACGCTACCACTAACTTCGGAATAATTCATGCTTGGATTTTGAGAATGCTTGAGTTTGCCCTTTCGTTTTAGGGCGAGCTTACATTATCTTTCTTCTTGAAGAATGACGCCTTTTTCTTCCCCTGCTCCATTTTATTGTTTTCAATCTCATTTTCGACAGCTACAGGTAAATAATGAAGCAAAAACATAAGAATCCCGAGGAAAATGAAGAAGAGCAGCCTATATTGCAAGACGGAGTTGAAATGCAGACTGAAAAAGCAAAGAAAAACAAGAAAAAGCGGAAGGACAAGTTGATCTCAAGTATTGAAGGTGCGTGAATCAGCGAATCATTTGAAGATCACAAATTGTCCCTTATCTAATTTCACTGTCGTAATGACAGTAAACTCAGTAGTAGTGATTATCCCATAGTTTATTGGAGTACAGATCCTCTACGTTGCCCTCGCTTCTTTAAATTTGCCTATCTTTGGCTTTATTTGGATTTCTATGTCCTTTATGCAATTCTTAAATTGCTACCACTTCTATCGTAATCTTCATTTTCAGGTGCCAGTCCCAGCGCATCTCTAGATAAGAAACCAAGAAAGGAAGCAGTTCAAGAAGACGACGCTATTGTGGAAGAGCCTAAAAAGAAAAAGAAGAAGAAGAAGAGTTCTGGTGAGACGTCTGAAGGGATTACCACGAAACAACCCGAAGGTTTGTTACGGCCTTAGCGGCGGTCTTTTCACTTCTTATTTTTCTTCAAAATTTGGGTGTATCATAAGCCTTCTGTTACTAACTAGTCGAGATTCTGAGAGCTAAGCCTAAATTAGCAGTAGTGAAATTTACGAAATCTGCAATATTTTGATCTTCATGGTATTATGTCCTTTGCATCGATACTTTCAGGAGAGTATGTAGTTGGCTCGCTT